AAACACACACACACACACACACACACACACACACACAACTGTCAGATAAAAGTAAATGAATGATAAGAATTTGGGTTGTCAATTTATTTCAGACAAACTGTATTAGAACTATTCTACACTTTGGTAGACCAAGAGCTTGTAACACTCCAAAGAGAAAGGAAAAATTTAAATCGCATCATATGACCCCTTTAAGTTTCACATGACCACCTAATTGTAGCACCCAAAATATTAGTGCTCTAGTATTGCTTTTTCCTCAAACATTCAAATTGCTGAAAACATTCATCAGAACAGGCCAGAAAACTGCCACACAGTGAGGCTGTGAATAGATGAACCGCAGCCTTTCTGAGTACTATACTCAGACGCTTTCATCAGTGGTTTGCTGCCTTGACTCTGTGAAAGAAGCACAAGCCGTAAAAGCAAATGCAGGCACATCTATTTAGAAAAAAAATGTGCATACACCATTTTTAATTAACAGCTATGTACTCCAAAAACAATACACTGAACTTTATCGAACTTGTTTGTCATTCACAATAATAGCTAATAACCACTTGTGGACCTTACAGTTTTTCCCAGAAGGAGCTTAGCAATTATACAGAAGCATCACATAATAGGGATTTAATTTTAATTATGCTTTGGCATTATCGACGAACAGCGGTGGGCTTTAAATCTTCTGTGATGATTAATTACAAAGAAGGCCAATCTATAAGCACTTTGACAAAATCAGCAAAGCTACAGGCGAATCAAAAAAGTTCACATGATGTTGCTCAACACTTCAGGGATCAATGCTGAGCAGCACAACTGTTTATTGAATTCCTATTAATATTTATAAATCATATAAAATGCACACTTATTTTTCATTTTATGAATTAAAACATAACATAACATAATATGCTTTATGATTTCTATATTATGCTGTTGCTTGGGTTTTGTAGTTTCAGTAGATGAAATCATACTGACAAACCAAAAATTGATTCACACTTGTACTACACAAAGGAAGAAAAGTCACAATCCATTAATAAATCAGTCATTTGGAAGCATAAGGTTCAATGCAATGTATAGTTACTTCAAAAGATTCTTTGTATGAAGTAAAAGCTTTAGAATACGCAAGGAGTAAGCAATGGCTTTCATTGCCTTTCTTTCATTTTAGCATGAGCATTTTCCATATGCTTTTTTCCTAGAAAGCATCAATGGGTTTCAAAAAATGCTCTGATGAAGGAAAGCTCAGTAACTCGGTCACATTTGAATGTTGGAGAAAAAGTGAGGGTGGGTGGGGGTTGGGGGGAGCACAGTTGCTATGACATCCATAAATGCCATTCCTGCTTGCTAAGTTGCTAAGCCATACAGTGAATGAAGAGACAGGTTAAGGCCACTAGCACTTCACAGAATTGTTCTAAAA